GGGGCAGTGGGGTGCAGTGGTTAGAGTGGGGGGCTGGGGGTTCTAGTCCCATTTCTCTCTCACTCACTGCAAGGCCTCAGACTAGCATGAGAAACGCCTTCCCGAGCCTCAGTTTCTCCCAGTGTGGAATTGGCAGTGACGGGGGCCCTGGGGCTGGTGGGGGAAGTGCTTGTCCCCTGGCCAGAGCCCTGGGGCAGTGATGGGGGGCTGGTGCTGGTGGGGGAAGCTCCGTGAGCTCGTGCCATGGCCGGGGCCCCTGCGGCGGGCGTGGGCTGGCTCCCTGGGCTGGGCCCCGTGGGGCGGGCGGCGGGGAAAGACCCTGGCCGGTCTGTGCAGCGGGTTCACCATCCCTGGGTTATGTGACCGACCCATTGCTGCCTCACTCCTGGGCCTGCGTCCCGGCTAACGCCAGGGTCACGCTGCCTTGCACTGACCCCCGTCCCTGCTAGCAATAAGCCCTTTCGCCGTGCGCTGGCCCAATGGACCATCTCCGGGGAATATCTGCTGCCCCGTTTCTGGTTCCGAGGGGGGTGCCGGGTGGGTTTCCACTTCCCGTGGTTGAGGCCGGATCTCTGGGTGGGGCCAGGCCAATGGCTAATCCCGTCTTAAAGACCCTGGCCGGTCTGTGCAGCGGGTTCACCATCCCTGGGTTATGTGACCGACCCATTGCTGCCTCACTCCTGGGCCTGCGTCCCGGCTAACGCCAGGGTCACGCTGCCTTGCACTGACCCCCGTCCCTGCTAGCAATAAGCCCTTTCGCCGTGCGCTGGCCCAATGGACCATCTCCGGGGAATATCTGCTGCCCCGTTTCTGGTTCCGAGGGGGGTGCCGGGTGGGTTTCCACTTCCCGTGGTTGAGGCCGGATCTCTGGGTGGGGCCAGGCCAATGGCTAATCCCGTCTTACCCCGACCCGTGTTCACTCCAGCCCCCCCCGGCTGCCACACGACTCCACCAGCCTTCGGGCGTTCGCACTGAGATGCTCTTAGGGCAGCTGCACCTCCGGGGCCTCCCCTGTCCTGCCCCTTACAGAGACGGGAGCTGCTACCAAGACGCCCTCTTCTACCTTCCAGCGGCGCCCAGTGTCCTGGTGCATTCAGCTGGGCGTGCGAGACGCTCCCATTGACACTGATTCTCCCCAGTAGCCAGTGTTCAGACGCTTCCTTTCCCTTGGGAATTTCACTTTGTGCGTCAGGATCTTTAATATCCATGATCTGTATTTGCACCCCCACATCCACCTCGTGCTCTGGGCGTATCCGCCTTTCGCTGCACCTCTCCCCTCTGGGTGTCGTCTTTTCCCAAGCCTGTTCCTTGGCCCTTGTGCTCCTGCTCCGCGGCTGTCTGGACACGGCTGCAGGGCTGAGGATCCCTTCTGCCTAACGGGGTAGAACCCCTGGAACAGGCTCGCCCCGTGTCCCCGTGTTGATGGGGTGGCTGAAGGGGGGCTCTTGCCATATTCACTCACCTGTCTCCAGGCGATCCGTGTCCAGTCCGTGGCCGAGGTCCAGGCCTCTCCTTTTAACCGCCCCGCCCCCGTGCGAGTGTGCAAGTGGGTAGAGGGGACCCAGGCCTGCCCATCCCCTGGGCTACCTGCCAAGTTTCAAAGTCCATAATTGTCACCACATCCCTGGGCCACGTCCCCGGGTCGCCGTTTCACCTGCCCTTCTCTCGGGCCTTGTTGCTGAATTCCCCTTGTCCGGGGCCCCGCAGAGCTGTCTCCTGCTACCCCTCAGCCCCAGGGTCTAGCTCCGCCCAGCGCCCACTGGAGCTGTCCAAGGTTCCCCACTCAGCCCACAGGTCTGCCTGGGTGGAGCTCCAGGAAGGAACTGACACACCTGACCTATCAGCTCCTTATATAGCAGCCTGTCGCATCCTGATTGGCTGCTGTGAAGGCTGCCCCTCTGCCCTGCTCGGAGGACCTCTCCACTGCTCCTGCTGCTGGCCAGGGTGCTGAAGGGCCTCCAGCGGGGAGGTCTGGCTTTGTCTGCCCCCTCACTCACGCCCTTTCCTAGACACGATCCACAGCAATGCCACACGGGCACCGGGACGGCCGTAAGAAGCGGTCCAGCCAGGGCCAGGAGCTCTGGTGCTGGGGCCGGACACGGAGGGTGTTCGTACATTGGTAACAACTGGGCAGAGCCCGGGACCTGTCTCAGAAGTGCTGTGCATCACCCGCACCCCAGCCCCACCTGGTAAGGGGGCAGGGCGGGGTGACAAAAGGAGGGCACAGAATCACAGAGCTGGAAGGGACCTCGAGAGTCATCGATTCCAGTTCCCCACCCACCTCCCACTGGCCATGCACGGGCTTTGCCTGCCTCACGAGCGGCCAGAGTCTAAAGAAC